AAAAAAAAACATGGCTTAGAATCTAGGAAAATGCATTATACGACATAAAAACAAAACAAAACGGAAAACAAGATTTCAGAAAATGGAAGGACGAGCGATCCATACGAATGTTTCGTCTAGATGCGAAACAATAAAAAAGCATTATAATACGATAATTCTTAAAGGCAGCGTCCAGGCAAATTTGGACCTATGCCGCTCTCACGCGGAAAGTAATCTTGAGGCCCTAAATAAGATTCTGCCCAAGGGCAGCTCAGATAGTGCGCTCACGGCTAAAATATTGGCCTCCGAACTATGCTCGGGGTCCAGATTTGCCTAGACGCTGCCTTTGAACAATGAGGAAAATGTACCCACTATCGTTTAGTGGATTGGCGAAGACAACGGCATGCGAATCCACAACAAATGACGGAACTTACCGTACACCGGCAAAGAATCCTCTCAACAGCGCCATTGCGTTCCTTCAGCGCATGTATTTTTACTCCAGATGCATTCAAAGCATCTTTAATTGGCATTTCTTGCATTTCAGCTGCAAATCCATATTTTATTGATTTGTAAGACTCAAACTCCCACATACCGCCATCGTCAGCCACTGTATCTACTATATCCAAAATACATTCGACTAAAGGACGATGAGCAGAATCGTAACCGGTCACGTCAACCTATAACGATGGAAAGAAGTGCGCGAAAATTTTTGGAAATGAAAAACAAATTAACAACAATACGACCCGCCGATGGGTCGTACGTTTCTGCCATATCGGACAATACGACCCACCGGTGGGTCGTACGCTTTCTGCAGTTTTGACTCTGCTAGTTTGCCATGAAAGTTTTTGGGCAAACTAAATAAACTTCTGTATACATCTCGTGGAATAGTTTCGGGAAGATTGACATTTCAGCCCATAACTCATCAAGGGCCAGAAAATATTGCGCAAACTCAATGTTGCGAAATATGCTCTGGTCCAAAATGGCAGTACTACTTAAAATGTAGGCCTTATCGTGAATGTGTTTAATCACCCCGGGGGTAGTTGTACCGGAAACACAAAATGATACTCACCTTCCTCATGGTTATGGTGCCCCAATGCTTCATTTTCTGTGCCATTTCCGGTGAATAAACTCGCATTTCATCCATGTCATGGTGAATTGAACGCTTTAGCCATTCAAGAGCTAACTCTCTACTAGCAGCTTCAGTTTTCTGCACCATTACCATAGAAAGTAGATTGCGATTGGTGGCGTGCTGCAGCAGAGACATTATTCAACGAACTTTACAAGTAAGAAACAACCTACCAAATAATGGCTAAGATGCTGGAATGATCGAATATGATTATTGATTTTTTCATGCATACCGCGAGGATACCATCGAGCGCACAATGTGCATACAACCTGAAGACATATGGTTAGTTTCGATACAATGTAACGGAGGGATGGATGATTACCTCCAAATTCTCCTGGTCATCGACCACGAACTCAAGACCAACGTCGCTCTGAGTTTGGATATAAAACTCATCATCATCTTCCTATAAAAAATGGTTGCGAGTGCTAATCTAGTAATTTGCCAAATTTTCGGAGTTCGCCTAAAATAAATGCATAGATTACCTTGATTGCCTTCCAACTTCCATGTAGATTCCATGGGGCTTTGGGAACGCTTGTAGACATAGGTACAAAGCAGTCATCATCTAAGATTGTAAAGCTGATAAAAAATGGAAAAGGATGACGAGAATAAGTTCGCATAGACATTGAAAGCAGTGCCTGGGCAAAAGGTCGATTTTGAGATATTATGCTTACCCAAGCCTATTCGCTACGCTGAATTCTAAACTCCATACTGGAGAGCGCGAAAACGGCAAAAAAGAGTTCTAACGCAGGGGGAAATCAGAAGGGGGCAGGGTCTTTCCCATAGTGAATTTTGAATTTACGCTCCCAGCATCCGAAATGATCTTTTCGGTCCCGAATTCAAGCCACTCGTTCGCATTTGGCGGTGGCGGTGTAAGTAAGGGTGGCTAGCGGAATCGGATCGCCCG